CTACTACTAGAGCTAACTCTTAGATCCGAGGAGAAGGAGACATTGCAATTATCTGATGTACACAGATTAGGCAAAGAAAGGGATCTGTCCACTGAGGAGATTGAAAAGGCGTTGAAGTACTTCCATGATGTTGGAGAGATCATTCACTTTGCTGATGTCGATGAACTAAAAAATACTGTAATCATCGATCCACGATGGTTGATAAACTTATTCAGGTTGTTAATTACAAATACAGTTACATACAGAACTAATCCAGAGGTATCTTACGAACTGCTGAACATGTTTGATGAACTATACAACTTAGGAAGGATGAAGAAGGAGTTAGTTTTACAATGGCTCACATTGCATGATCGTCAGCAGGATACAGACATTCTCTTGAAAGTTCTTGAAATGTTTGATATTATTTGTAAGGATCAGTCTACACTAGGAATTGACGTATACTACTTTCCGTGCCTACTGCAAAGTGAGCCTCGAGAAAACGTGCTGTTCCCTTCAGGGTACAAGTCTTGTGAGCCGTTATATTTTCATTTTTGTGGTAATTTTTTACCAGAAGGTTTATACTACCGCCTGATTGTTCGTTGTTTAAGACAACATCCGAAAGCTGTGCTATTCCAGGATCATGCTCGTTTTATTCATAACGAGTCCAACAATCATTACTTCACTCTGTGTAGAAAAGGAGCCGACATAGAATTAAAGATGTTACGACCGGATACTTTAGGCGAGCGAATAATTCAATATCTTTATGAAAAGGTTCGACAAGAAGTGGAAACCTCTCTGAAGGAGTTAATTCGGATGTACACACCGGGTTTGACGTATCACATATGCGTGAAGTGTGGTTGTGGTGACCACAGGGATGGTATATGGTTACCAGAATTAAATGACATTGATGATGGATGTACAGATATCACGCCTGTATTGAATAAAGGTGTTGAACAATTACATTGTGCACGGAAACAGATGCCAGTAAACATATCCGCCATTTCCTACTGGTATAAAGAGTGTAAGTAAACTTATAATAGACTTTTGTGTACTGTATTACTGAACATATCCAGCAAAGTAACGTTTTGCAATAATGAAACATGTATAAAGCATAAGAGACTAAATAGAGTACTAAATAACCTGATCAACTTGGTCTTTGTATACGAATGATATATGTGAAAAATATCTTTTATATGTATTATTGGATGAACTCGACTAAATTAATAACAAGTTATCTCTTTATCTACAATTGCAGCAAGACAGTCACCAAGTAGAACATTTGAAGAGATCGTCCACTTATTCTGTTACCTGGATTCACAGCTAGATTCAGGTACATGTTTAAATTTAACAATTAAGACACATACACAAATTCTGATGCACACTTTTCAAAATAGTGTGTATCATATTAATATGTACATCGGATTGCATTGTGCAAACCATTCTTTGTAACACAGCTTATAATATCTTTTCAGATGCCTTTGTGAGAATAAAACAGTGGTGTCATGGAAGGATACCGGATGAAACATTGCAGAGAA